CCCCCCCCCCCCATTGCCGGCCCCCTCCCGGCGCAGCTGACCCCCATGGCCGTTTGGCTCCCGGTGTGCATGCACGCGCGCCCCAGACATCCGTCGCGAGAATGCCCTGCGCAATGCCCTCTTCGATGCCGCCTCGCGAGCGCTGTCGACGCCGGCCGCTGCCGGGCTGACCATCGGGTCGATTGGTCCGCTGGTCGGGCCTGCCCCGGGGGCCCGAACGGTCATCGAGCCCTCGGCCAAGACCGTGGTCATCCTGGATGCGCCCAACTACATCAAGGGCTTCCGGTATCAGCTGTATTGCGCCGCACGCGGCGCGGCCCTGCAGCACTGCTTGGTACGCGAGTGCCCCGGTCGAATGCCCACCCCCCTCCTCCACGTGCCTCACGCCCGGGCTCGCCCTCCGCCCGTGCCGCTAACTGTCCCGCCTTCAGATCGAGTGCCAGGAGCCTCGCGAGGGTGCAACCGTCTGGAACCTCCGGCGCCGGGAGCGCGGTGAGCCGGCCTACGATGACAAGACGTGCGTCCCATGTAGCCCGGTTCTCGCTCCCTCGCGCGCGCGCGCTCTCTCTCTCTCTCTCTCTCTCTCTCTCTCTCTCGCTCTCGCGCTCACTCTCCAGCTCCCCTGTCTTTGTGCCCTTCTTTCCTGTCACTGCCAATCGCCAATGAAGTTTCGATGAGCTGCACATGCGCTTCGAGCCGCCGAATGGCGCCCAGCGCTGGGATTCACCTCTGTTCGTCGTCGCCAGCGCCGACCCTGGGCCGGCCGGCTGCCCGGACCCGGCTGTCATGGCGGGCGATCTTGCGGCCGGTGCCGCGAAAGAGATCGACATCGACGCACTTGCCGCGAGCCAGGCACTTCCGTGGTTTGCGGCGGTCGAGCGCGAGGTCCTGCCCGGGGTGTACCGGGCGCCGGCGAGCGCCCCGGTCGGGGGGCCTCCCTTGACGGATGCCTCCTCGAGCGGGCCGGTTCGGCCGCATGCGAGCACGCGCTCAGTACGTTCCCCGTCCCCCCTCCTCTTCCTCGCTCGCTCGCTCGCTCGCTCGCTGGCGGTCTTCCTGCTTTGCCCTTGGCCAGCCTCTGTGGCCCTTGCCATTCCTCGACTGACGGGCGGCCATCTGGTCCCCAGGTGGTGGCCACAGCCATGGCCGATCGGCCGCACATCCGGGACCGTGCCACGCAGCACGTTGTGGCGGTCTTCCACCGGGCACTTCTGGAGGCGGCCGGGCCAGGCGCCGGGCCCGGCGCCGGGATGGTCCCCACTTGGGGGACCACCCTGCCCGTGGAGTTCCCCCTGCGTGTGGTGGTGCCTGCCCTGGCTGCTGCGGCGACGACGGGATCCGGATCTGGCTCCGGCGGCCCGGGCGCAGGGGGCCCACGTAAGTTCGGTGCTCCGCGCAAGTTCGGCGCCCCGGCGGCCGCCGCCACGACCGCCGCTGGAAGCCCCGCCCCCGGCCCGGCCGCCGCTCCCGCCCCAAGTAGCCCCCCCTTCGCGGTGGATGTGCCGCGGGAGTTTGCTCTTCAGGAGCTACACGCCTTGCGCCGGCGCTTCCTCCAGCTGCGCGCCCAGTGCGAAACGTCGCCCTTGACCACGACCACCGCGGCGGCGGCGGCAGCAGCGGCCGGCACCCAGGCGCCCGGCCTGGCATCGGCCAGCTCGGCCACGGCGGCGGCCAGTCGCGGAGGCGCCGGGACGCATGTCATCGAGCTGGATGTGGCGGCGGCGGCCGCCTGCTCGGCCCTGCTTGATGAGGACAGCACGCCATCGGTGGCCCGGGCGTTTGCCTCCTTCCTGGTGGAGTGGCTGAGCCTTCACCCGAGCCAGGCACCTAGTGCCTAGTGGCGAGCATGCTTCCCTCGCCTGCTTCCCTCGCCTGCCCCATGGTCTTGGTGGCGGTGGTGGAAATGCAAACACACGGGCCGGCCGACACACACACACACATATATATATATACACACACATATGTAAAAATCCATGTGAAGTAGGGATTGCGTGTATTGACGCCGGATGGTCCTGCATGGCTCTCCGGGAGAAGAGTGGCCCACGCTGGCGTTGCCAGTCACAATCCCTCACTTGAGCCTGGGCGCGTCCGGGGGCCGGGGCAGGCGCCAAGACACCGGGGGGGGGGGGCAGGGGGCGAGGCGAGTCTGTCAGCGTCGACCGGGGCCGAGGGGAGGGGGGCGGGATCCCAGTGGGCAAGCAGGCGGGGAGGCTCATGCGCAAGAGGGCCTGACGTACGGATACTCCAGAGGCTCCGGGTTCTTATATAGCGAGGGGGGATGGTCCTTGAAGATCTTCTCCATGATGGCAATCCCCTGAGGAAAGCAGCGCCAAAAAGGGTTAGACACAGGGGAAGAGGAGCCACGACCCGCTGCAAGAGGTGCGTGGGCGCGCGCGTGTGCGTGTGTGCATGTGTGGGGGGGCGTGCATGCGTGTCCCCCCCCCCCCCCCCCCCGGCGGTGGGGCCGAGCGAGCAACTCGGGAATACGTACGTCCCGGAAAGACTGGTCGAAGCGCGACAGGTTGTTGTGGAACTCATTCGGGCCAGGCGGCACACCGAGGCCCTCGGGCAGCTCCGGCGCCGGGAGCTTGGAGGCAGGCAGGGCCGGGGTGGCGGCGGTCGCAGCGGCGGCACCCTTGGCCGGGGCAGCCGAGCGCTTGGCCGGGGGCTGCTTGCGAGGAGGCATGGTGGCAGAAGGAGCGAGGGGGAGGGAGAAAAAAAAGCAGAAGGAGGCGTGCAAAGAGCAGGCGCGAATGCAGAGGAGTGGGTGGGATGCGGTCCCCCTTGGACAGGGGCCCCCGCCGTGGCAGCATAAATCCGGCCGACCGGGCGGCGCGCCGCGCCCGGCAGCGAGAGGCGGCGCGGGCGTGCGCGCATGCCCTCGCGCGCCAGGATGCCTCGGCGGGCGGATGGGCGCGCGCGCGCATTCGGAACAATGCGAGATCGTCGGCAGCCGGCGGACCGAAGCGTGGGTAATCCCCCGGGCACATGACCATTTCCCGGGGGGCGCCACTGCCGTTTGCGGTTGTCTGTTGGTCTTTTTTCGAAGCCATTGGGCGGGCATTGTGGGTGACGGTGGCGCATGGCCCCCGGCGGGCGGGGGTCCTCCCCCCTCGGGGGGCCGGACGCGGGTGCGTGGGGGGGTGTGTGGCTTTGTGTGCGCGCGCGTCGGCGTGCGTGCGTGTGGGGGGGGGGGGGGGGGGGGGGGCGCGCGCATCCCCGCCCGAACGCGATCGGCCATCAGCCCCGGCGGGGCTGATGCCTGCATGCCCAGATGCGGGCGCGGGGCCGGCCCCGCGTTCCTGGCGGGATCGGCCCGTTCTTCGGGAGAGGAACCGAGCGGCGGGATGCCGCCATGTGCATCTCCTCAACAGTGTCCCTCCCCTTCCGCCAGCTCTTTCCCTTTCTCTCTCTCTCTCTCTCCCCCTCCCTCCCTCTTTGCCATCTTGCCTTGTCTTGCCACCTTTGTCTCTCGCCTTCTCTTGCTCTTTCCGCCGCTCCCTCGCTCCGCTCCCTCGGCCTCAGGCACCCGCCCCCCTCCCCGCGGAGGATGGACACCCAGGCGGATCACACCTTCTTCGGGGACTTCGCCGAGGGGGATTCCTTCTTCCTGCCGGCCAGCCAGCTCCCCTCGGCCACGTACGGGACACAGGCCACCCAGGCCACCCCACGGCCATGGCCTTCGGAGAGGGTCGCCAGCGTCGACACCGCCGAGGCCGCCTTCCTGGCCAGTCTGGACCGGTCGTCCCAGCACTTTGCCAGCCAGAGGTCCCCCGGCGGGGGGTCTGCCTTTTCACAATCCTCCCAGGCGGCCATCAGCTCCTGGTCCTACAGCACGCAAATCCAATCCAGCCAGCTGGATCTCGCCGGGCGCCTGGTGCCGGTGGGCCTTCCCCCGGGGGCGGCGGATGCCCTGGCTGCCGAAGTGGCCGTCGCACGGGCCTTCGCCCCGGGGCCGGCGAGCCCGGCCGATGTGCGTCACCCTTTTTTCTCTCCCCCTCTCCCTCCTGCCTCCCTTCCCGGTGGCCGGCATTGACCTTGTGTTCGGTGTCGCTCTGCCCCCCTCGCCGTAGGGTCTTTCACGGCGACTGGACGCCATGCTGCGCGAGGCTTCGACCCCCGGGGCGTCGGCCGGCCGGCGCGAGGACACCATGCTGGGGTGGCTGTGCATCGCGCGCGATGTGTGGGAGCGCCGGCTGGCCGAGCACCGGCTGGCCGTGATGGCCGCCCACCGGTCGTCCTCCGACGACTCTTCCCCGTCCGAGGACGATGACGCTGCCACCGCTGCCACCGATGGTGAGGACGGGCATGCGGAGGCCGGGGCGCGTGGCGATGTCCCCGACGGTCTGTCGGGGTCCGGATCCCCGGGTCTCGAGACCGAGCCCGAGCATTGGAGCGACCGACAGTCGATGCCGAGCCGCGAGTCGCCGGGCTCCTCGGACCCCGGGACTCCGGCCTCCGGCGATGGGTCCGGCGGCTTCGCGGTCCCCGGCGCTCGGGCCGCCGCGACCGAGGTCGACCATACGTCGGCCCTGCTGGCGGACTTGGCCTCGGCCGTGGCCGCCATGTCGATCGAGCGCCTGTCGGATGCGGTGGGATGGATCCGCTCGCGTGCCGGGGTTCTTCTCCATTCGACCAGTGACACCTCGGACCCGGGGCACCCGAATGCCCTGACTCTGGCCTCGGCGACCATGTCGCTCTTTGAGCTGGCGGTGCGCCGCGCTTCGCCATCGGCCGCGCCCGGTTCGCGCCCCGAAGGCCATTCATCGCTAACTCGCCGTGTATTCGCTTCTTCTTGCCGGGGGGGGGGGGGCCTGGCCAGATTCGCATTGTCCCTCCGAAGGTCCTGCTCGCGAATGCGCAGCTCCTGTTTCACAGCTTTGCCCGGGCACGTCCGCGGGACTTGAGCAAGCTCGGCCCCTCGGGCGAGGCCCTCACCCTGCTGCCCTCGCTGCTGGGCTGTCTGGCGGAAATGCCACGGCCGGACCCGGCCGCCCAGGCCAACGCCTCCGGCGATGCCAGTGCCCCGGAATTGTGGCTGACAGTCCGCCGGTCGACGGGCGACGAGCTGATGACCGGGCCCGAGTGCGTGGCCTTCCTTGTGGGCAAGCTGGCCTCCTTCTCCTGGCCAACGCATCTGGTGCGCATGGCGTCCTCCGCCGGCTTTGCTTCTTCTTCCCCTTGTCCCCCGCCTGCCCTTGGCCAAGCGCCCGGCTGCCTCCTGACACTGACGCCCGGCCCCCTTGGTGCGGGGGGGGGGGAGGGCGAACCGGATTCAGATTGTTCCCATGGCCTCGCTTTTGCGGAAATTCCCCCCGGTGCCGGGTTCCGTGCTGGCCGGCGCCCTGCACGCGGACCCGGCCTTCGAGTCCTGGCGCGAGGCATTCCACGGGTCGGCGATGGACACCGGCACGGGCGCCACCGCGGTGGCGCCCGTGCCGGCCTCTGTGGACCTGGTTCTTTGCCTTTTGTGGCAGCTACGCCGGTGTGAGGCCGCCGACATCGGGGCCCTGTTGCAGGCGATCTTGACCTTCGCCCAGGAGGGCCTCGAGGCGTGTGACGCGGAGGCGGCGGCCCCGGCCGCAGGCGCAGCCGATATGCCGGCCACCCGGCGGCGTGCCCGAGCAGCCGGCGACCTGGCGGATCCCGGCCCGGCCAAGCGTCGGCCAGCCGCCTCGCAAGCCCGTACACAGGCTCGGTCGCAGGCTCGGTCGCAGGCTCGGTCCCAAGGTCGCACCCAGACACCGGCGCCGGGGGCTGCTGTGGCCGACTCGGCCCCGGCCCCGGCCCCGACGGCTGCACCTCCTCCTTCCAGGCCCGGCGCCGTCCTGCTGCCGAGCGAGCCACTTGCCCGGATGATCCTCGCTCTGGTGGTGGATCACTTCGAGCTGACCGACCACCTGTACGGGGTGCTGGCCTGCCGGGCCACCGAGCCGGAGTCGCTCGCGTGCGTTTCCCCGGATCCCGTCGCTCCTTGATCCGGGCTCCCCCCTGCCGTTCCCGGCCTCGCCGCTGCATCTAACAGCTCTCTGCTCCTGCCTCCCTTCCTCCCTCTCCAACTCGCCCTCCCGTCCGGACCCCAAGGCCCCTCCTGCCCCTGGTGCGCCGGTCGAGCGCCGAGCAGTATCCGTCCATCCGGCGGGCCGTGGCTCAGCACCTGTTTGCCGCGTTGCGCACCTTCCCAGTGCGTGGTCCCCCGGCCCCCCGCCCCCCCCTTGCCCCCCTCTTGCCATGTGCCCGGCCTCCATGGCCCCCTGCCACGACTCTAACCCGGCCCTCGGTCGGGCGCCCGCAGACCCTTCGCCGTCGCCTGGCACAGCTCCTGGTGAGGCGCTTCCACCGAACGGCGGGTCCCCGCCCGTCGGCCGGCCTGTGGCCCGAGGACCTTCCCCCACCTCCCCCCCTGGGCCCCTTCGCCGCCGTGGCTCTGCTGCAGTGCGCCGAAATTGAGGGGCTCATGCAGCCGGGGGCCCCGGGGGCCCCGAAGCCCGGGCCCCGGCGCGCCCCGGAGCCGGGCTTTGACTTTCGCCAGCTGGCCGACCTGCTTTCCTCGTGGCACCAGCGAGGGGTGGTGGCGGCCCGGTTGCGGGCCTTTTCCGGCATCGGCGCCGAGGGGGTTCCCCCTGCTGGGCCCGGCGGCCCGGAAACGACCATCCTCTGGCTGGCCCTCTTCGCGGACATGCCCCCTTGGGAGGAGCTCTCTGCGGCCCGGGCCACGCCCGGCCTGGCGAACGCCGCGAGCGCCAGCTCGGCTCGCCTGAAACATGGGTACTTTTCGTGTGCCGGATGGGCGGTCCGCGCGGGGCCGGCCCTCCTCCAGCTGGCCCTGGAGGCGGCGCTCAGTGTCTCCTCTCCGCTGGCCGGGCCGCTCTTTGCCGGGGGCCCGGACACCGCGCGTGCGTTGCTCCTCGGTCTCGTGCTCCCCCTCCCGCCTGTTGCTGCCCTGGGCTCCGGCGGGCCTGGCCCCCCCCCCCCCCTGCTTCGGCCACTGACTCGGTCCCCAACGTGTGTGCATGTCCTCGGGCTCGTGTTTCTGCCGCTGGCCACTGGGCCCGGTGGCGTCATGGTCTGGCCGGCTTTTTTTGGGCCGCCCAAACCGGACGCCCACATGTGCCCAGCCGCCGGGCTCGGCCTGCGGCCCCGGGACTTCTGGCACATCTCCGCGCCCCCGAGCCCCGGGACGCCGATCGAGCGCATCCTCGGCCACTTTGCCTCGGTCCTGGTGACGACGGTGCTCTGCCCCCTGGCGGCCTTCTGGTGGGCCGCCGGGGCCGACCTGCCGGGCCCGGACCACCACGGGCAGGTGCCCTTCCATGTGGCGGTCCACCGGCTGGCCACCGGCGCCCCGGGGTCCGGTGGGCCTCGCCCGGCGGAGGCCCTGCCGCTGGCCAGCCTCCGGCAACTCCGCCAGGGCCCGACTGCTGAGCGTGCCTGGCTGGCGGTCCTGGCCCGAGCTGACCGGCACCTTTTCCGCCGGCCGGTCGGCCTGGCGGCATTGGCCTGGTCCACCGGGTCGCCGGGGGACCTGGAGCCCACGAGCGGCGCCCTGGATCACGCCCTCTGGCTGGGCCACTGGCTCCTGGGGGCCCTGGAGGCCGGGGCCTGTGCCGGGCTGCTGGCGGCCGATTGCGCGGTGCTCTGTCCCGACGAGGGCCCGGGCGACCCGGGCTGCCTGTTGCACATGGTGCGTGCTTGTACGCCTGCTTGCGTGTGTGTGTGTGTGTGTGTGTGTGTGTGTGTGTGTGTGTGTGTGTGTGTGTCGGTGTATGTGTTGCTGATGGTTCCTTCGTCACCCCGGCCCTGTCCGCCCGGCCCCTTGGCTTCCGCTCCGGTCTCGCCATTTGCCCCTCCCCGATGGGGCTACGGCGGGATGAAGCTGCTCGATGGCTATGCCCAGCACCATGCCTTCATGGATCCCGCCCTGTCGGGGCGGGTCTTCCGGCTGCTGGGCTCCGAGCTGCTGGCTGACCGGCCACGGGTGGCCGACTTCCGCTTTCTCTTTGCCTCGCCGCTTCCTCTGGGCCCTGGTGGCCGGGAGCTGGCGACCGGGCCCCAGGCCCCGGCCGCTCGGCTACTTGCTGCCCTGCACCAGGACCTCTTTTCCGAGTATGTGGCCCTCCGAGCGTCTGCGCCCGGGCCGCCCGCCCTCCTTCTGTCCCGCCCGCCCCCCGCCCCCCGGCCCCCCCCCCCCGGCCGTCTGACCGCTTCTCTCAATCTTCCCCGCGCAATAGCTTCCTCGCTCGACGTCTGGCCGGGGTGGATGGCCTCCTGTGCCTGTTGCGGCTGTATGGCGCGCCGGCCGGCGAGGACGCCGGCACTCTGATCGGCCTCCTGCTCGGGGTGCTGGACCGCCCGGCGCCGGAGCTCAGCTGCGCCCGGCTCCATGCCCCGGTCAGCCACGGGCCCAATGCGAATGTCGTGCGGACGGCCCTCCGCGGGCACATTTTCGCCGGCCTGGCCGCCATGATGGCCGACTGTCCTGGCCTGGGGCCCCTCCTGCAGCCGAGCATCTTCCCCTTGGTACGCGCGGCCCTGCTGCCGCCGCTCCGGGCCTGCCCTTTCCACTTTCCGCCCGTCTCCCCTGACACCCCGCCTCCCGCTCCCGTCGCCGGCTCCGGGGGGTGCATGCGCCAGATCGAGCGGTATTTGGCCCCGGCCCCGACGATGATGATGTCCTCGGCCGAGTTCCTGGAGATGATTGGCGCCGGCCTGGCCGGCGAGATGCAGCTGGACGCCGCGCTGGACCCATGTCCCAAGACCGAGGCCTTTGCCGTGGAGCTGGTCTCCGGGGCAGTCATGCGTCCGCATGTGGCCCGCCATGTGCCGCGATCGGCCTCCGGGGTGGCTCTCCCCTGGGCCGGCGGGGTGGCCGGCCTCGGGGAGGCCTTCCTGCACCCGGGCGATCCGGCGGCCCTCGGGGCACGCCAGGCGGCCCTCTCGCGTGCGGCGCGACTGCTGGTGCGGGAGGCCCTGCCGGAGCTGCTGCACCTGGTGGTGGAGCTCCTGGCCACCGGGGCCCGGGGGAGCGGCGCGTCCGGCGTGCCGGTGGTCGCGCCGGTGGATCCGGCTCACGAGAATTACGGCTGGGTCCCGGCCGCGGTGACCGGGGCCACCTTGGTGACCGGGCGCAAGCCCGGCGCGGCTGCCCCACCAAGCGCCGAGGGGGGCTCGGCGGCCGAGCGCCTGGGCGCCGCCGTCCGGTGGGACGACTTCGGCCTGGCGCTGATGCATGCGCGGCTGCTGGGGGCCATGCGGGCCGTGGCACGCGGCGGCCCGACGGCCTTCCGGCTGTCGGCCTCGGCCGGGGATTACCGGCCGATGGGGGCCTGCGAGGGGGCCGGGCCCGGCCCCGGGGTCGGGCCCGGCGGGCCGTCGCTGCCGACCGGGACGCTGGCCCGCGAGCCGATCGACCCGGTGCGCGCCGTGGCTCGGAGCCGGCTGTTCCTCGGTGCCGGGGCCGCATTGCAGGGGCTGCTGCTTCGGGGGCTTGGCCGGCCGGTGCTCCGGGCACGGGGGGACCCGCGCGCGCGTGATGTCCCCCCGGCCGTCGGCCAGGCCGGCTCGGGGCCCGTGTGCTCGCTGCTGGCGGCCGATGGGCGCCTGCTGCTGTCACTGCGCCGGCGCCTGGACCACCAGGCCGGCGTGACCCTGGCCGGGCTCGGGGCCGGCGGGCAGACGGCCGCCGCGGCCGCGCACTCCCTCCGGCATGTGGACCAGCCGCTGGTTGGCCCGAGCTACCTGCTGTTGGTGGACCATGCGGTGTCGGTGGCCGCCGGGACCGGGGACACGCCCAGCCCGGCGGGGCTGGCCCACTGGGACCCCGGGGCCTTGGGCGCCGGGGCGCTGGCCCTGGCCGGCCTGTCGGCGCACCAGCCCCTCACCGGCCTGGCCCTGACGCTCAGCCCCCTGGCATCGAGCATTCCTCTGGCTCCGGGGGGGGCGTCGCCGGATGGCGGCCCCTTCTTCGGGGCGGCCGACGCGGCGCAGGTCCTCCAGTGGCTTTTGCCACGGGGGTCGGCTGGCCGACCTGCTGACGAGGACTCGGCGGCTGCCGCGTCGGCGGCCCTGAACCGGCGGATGCTGGCCAGCGAGGCCTCCTTCGTGCGGTACGTCTGGCTGGCGGCGGCCGGTGGGCTGGCGGTGCAGTATCGCCGCCGCGGGCCCCTCATCACGGCGGCCAACCACCAGGCTGTGGGGGCCCTCCTGGAATCGGCCCTGCTCGGTGTCTTGGCGCCGGCTCGCCCGGCCGAAGGGGACCCCCCCGCGTCCGGGGCCTGGCGCCCGGTCCAGCTGAGCCCCTTTATGGAGGACGGCCGCGATCTCACCCGGCGCGAGCGTGTACGTGACGCTTTCTTCGTCCTTTCCGGGCGCGCACGACACACATGCACACGACATGCACACGACATGCACACGACATGCACACACGCACACACGCACACACATGCACACGCACACACGACATGCACACGCACACACGACATGCACACGGCACACGCACACACGTGGTCCGCCTTTGACATGGTCTGACGCATGGCTACGCCCGAAGCATTTGGCTCCGACTTACGCGGCGTGCGCCGTATTGACCTTCGGCCTGCGGCTCGTGGAGGCCACCCACGGCCCGGCCGCTGCAACTGGCGTCCTGCTGGACGCCATGCACCGGGTGGCGGTCTCGGGTGGCTATGCGCCCGGCCCGAGCGCCTCGGGTGGCCGCCCATCCAGCTCGGTCCTGGGTGATGAGATGCTCTGGGGCACGGATCTGCTGCTGGTACGCCACGGCCGCCGGGGTGCGCCTCTTTCGCGCTTGCCCTCCCTCTTGACCAACACCCTTCGACCGTCCCGCCGCTGCCGGGCCGGCTCGTGGCTCCCTGCAGAAGGCCATGGATCGGCTGCTTTTCTCCTGCCGCGTGCCGATAAATGCCGTCCCGCTGCTCCGGGCCCCGGTGCTGCCGTATGTCCGGCGCGGGGCCGGGCCGTCAGCGCGCTCCGGCGACGACTCCCCGAGCGACGAGGACGACGAGGCGAGCCCCAGCCGCGCCGCCCTGCCGAACAGTGCCTTTGCCGCGCCCACCAGCCACACCTATGCCCATGGCACCGAGGTGGCGGTCCTCCTGCTCGCCCTGTCGCGATACATGGTGCTGCCCTTGGCCCGGTCGGCGGGCCAGCCGGCGGTGGCCTGTCTCTGGCCGCTGTCCGGCCGGTGCCATTGCCATTCGGCGGTCGGGCCCGGCGAGTCGGCCGACCGGGCCCTGGACCAGGCCGAGCGGTGGCTGGTCTCGGTGCGTTCGCCCCGCCCGGCGGCCCATCTTGCGCTTCCTCCATTTGCCCACCATCGGGCCTCCTGCCTGGCGTCTCTAACCCGGCTGGTGGTAGATTTCCCAGCAGTCCGTGCACTCGCGCATCTTCGACTCGTCGGCCATGCTGCTGAAAAGCGCCCTCAGCTGCCTGCTTGACATGCTCCGAACATCTGGGCGCCCCTTGGACCCGGTGCGCCTCGGCCGGTCCCTCCTGCCTGGCCTGTCCTTCCTTTGCCCGTCGCCCAGAGCAACGAGCCAGCTTCTAACATGCATCTGCCGGGCCCCCTCCCCGGGCTGCCTGCCACTTGCCGCGCGGGCCGACACACGTGCGCCAGCTTGTTCGGCTTCTTCCCCACCTGGCTCGGTCGGCCACCGTCGTCCAGGAGTATGGCCTGCCCGAGGCCGAGCGCCTGGTGGACGATCTCGGCCTGACCCGGGCAGCGGCACACATGCTGGTCGAGGGGGGTGTCCTGGCGCGGCCGAGCTCCGGCACAGGCGGGGGCTTTGTGTGGCCGGCGGCGGCCGCGGCGGCGGCGGCCGCGGCGGCCGCGGCGACGGCGGTGTCTGGGGCCGACGCCGCGCAGCTCCCGGCCGGGCTGACCCCGGCCCTGCTGGATGCGCCGCTGGTCTTTTGGCGGACCACCCCCCCGCCGGTGCTGGCCCCCCCGGCGGTTGCCCTGGCGCACTTTGTCCTGGCGCTGGTGGATGGCGAGGCCGACCGCGTGGATGCCCTGCTGGAGGGGGCTCATGCCCCGCCGCCGGGGGTCACCGGGCTGGCACTGCTGGACACCGTGCTGACCCATGTCACGCGGCTCTTCCAGGCATCCCTGTGCCTGGTGGCCGGAGTGGCCGCGTCGGCCTGGCTGACGCCCGGGCGGCTGCTCATCGCCGCCGGTCTCCAGCTGCGGGCCGCCTCTGGCGGCGGGGGCCCCGATGACCCGCTCACCTGGGGGTCGGTTGCGCCGCTGCCGGTGGTGCGCGCCTGCACGCGCCTCTTCCGCCTTGCGCTGTCCCTCTTCCGCAAGGTGCGCCGCCTGAGCAGGCCCAGGCGCCCTTCCTCTCTCCCTTTCTCCCTCGTCCGCCAGCCGCTGACTTGGCACTTTTCGCCACACATCCCATGCCGCATGGGCGCCCCCCTCCCTCACAAACATGCGCACGGACACACGCGCGCGCGCGCATACACAACCGACTCCCGACCCCCACGCGCGGGCCATCCCGCAGCTCCAGGAACTCCATCTGCCCGTGGACATGAGCCGCCTGCATGCGCTTGTGCACCTGGTCCATTCGCCCTTCATGCGGGCCTTCTTCGGTACGCCCCGCGCCGGACGCCCCGGACGCCTCCCATGCATGTGCCCAGCTTACCACCCCCTCCCCCTTCCCGCCGCCCTCCCCGGAGCAGACTTCCTTCAGAACTGGCAGCGGCGCAATGCCGCGGACCTGCGCCTCCGACGGATGCAGGCCGACCCCGACGATGCTGGCGATGCCTCGGGCAAGAGCCGCTCCAAGGGCGGTCCCAAGGCCGGCCGCAAGGGCGGCAAAGCCGCCGCCGGCACCGCTGGCGGGGCCGACTCCGCCCCCGGCGCGGACGCCCTCTCGCGCGCCGTCCCGGCGGCCATCTATGCCGCCGAGTCCCTGGAAAAGGAGCTCGCCCAGCTGGCCCGGACCTTCGCCGCGCCGCAGCTCCTGCGCGGAATCCGCCGCGCGGAAACCCGCGACTTCCAGATCCAAATCAACGCCCTCAACACCTAGAGAGCGCCCTCCGCTCCCCCTGCCCTCTCGGCCTGCGGCTGCTTCCAAATGGTCCCTGGGGCCTGGACCGGCCTGTACAATAGATTTCAACCGTTGGCACCTGGTCGAATGTGAGGTGTCACGCCCCGTCTCTCCCTTTCGCGCGCGCGCGCCCCGGCCGTGTGCGCCCCTGCTGCCTCCGGCTCTTGCTTTGTCCCTTGCTCTCTTTCTGCCTGGCCGGCCGGCCGGCCGGCCGGCCGGCGGCCGATTTGATCGGGCGCCACGGGCTTTTTTTCCCCCGGCCCGTCGACCGTAGGGGGCCGCCGGGGGCGGGGTATGTGTGGGACCGGCGATGCCCTGCACAAGAAGAGGGGCGGGGGCTGACTTGATCGGGGCGTCGGGATGGGCACGCCTTCCCCGGGGCCCGACACATTGATCTGGCAGCATCGGCCTGGCCAGCAGACCGGGCCCCGTGTCAACACGCCACTGCCCTTCGGTCTCAGTTCCTGTGACTCCTGCCGCCTCTCCCTGCCCCTACTCTGCCCCTCACCCTTTCGCACCCGTCCATACAAACGCGCGCGCGCGCGCCGATCCCCCCCCCCCCCCTGAGCACGTCCCGCGAGTTCCAACATGACCGATTTCCCCCGGA